GTTCTTCTTCTTCTTCTTCTTCTTCTTCTTCTTCTTCTTCTTCTTCTTCTTCTCTTCACCGACATCCACATAAAAATTGTAGTACGCTTTTAATACATTCTTCAAGAATGCTTGATTGAAGAGCCCGGGAAAACGGAACGATAACCCAGTTGCAATTTCAAAAATCTTAGCATCTTTTCTGTAGTTCTGGGTTTTCAGTTCATCCACATTCTGATATTCCATGGAGCAGACTGTGAACAGTGAGGTAGGGCTATGCCTTCGCTAATGTCGACAATCAGTGCTCTTGTCAGTGACTTAGAGCACTGTCTTCCGAAACTGAACACAGCAGAACATTAATTTCGAAATAGCTTTGTGGATAGGGGAGAGATCTTACTCTCTGGCAAAGAGCAATATTCCTTCCATGTTCCTTCTCCAAGATGCGTAGTTCATATTTTAGCATTGGAAGCCTTCCAGTGAAATAATTGTAATTCTTTTTCGCTTTCAGTTAAATCAAATTAAACGGCAGGAAAGGAATGTGGTACGATTAAATGGCAAATGACATTCAAAACTTTTCTTGACCAGCACTATCATATTATTCCATTACCAAACTTAAACCATGCATATTTAAAGTCAAAATCCTTTTTGACCAGTTAACATTCCACTGCTCAGTACTCTTTATTAGCTTGCAACGACAACGAAGACATTGACAGTTCTGACAAAAACCCGCAATGTCGCAATATGACTTCGGCACAGCCCCATGCCCAGCAGATCTCTTAGCCAATCACAGGTGCAGTTACTTTGGTGTACTTGAATATTTTCTGTTGCATGACGTCACCGAGGAAGAATTCTTGACCATCTTTAGACGTGCACAGGTCGTGGATGAGAGAGGGTCCGTCCTGGGCAATAGACTGAGGGGAAAATATATCCAACAATGAGTCATTTTATTATTTAAATATAATGATTTGCACAGTATAGCAAAGATATTGGAAGAAAAAAATCATGGTACGAGATGGTAACATAATAAGGATATATATATATGCGAAAATAACATTTTCTTGCAGGTACTGGGAGTTCCGGAATGACTGTAGTGAGTTCAAACTTTTTCTTAGATAGAACACAATGCTTTGCCAGATAAAATGCCTAAACATTCTAGACACGGAACCTTATTCGAACCCAGACCAGCTGTGATTTCTGCTTTTTTACAAATTATACCGCCGAGCCCTATTGTGAGACGGGAATATAGGGTTGAGGTTGAGTGGGTAGGGGCTTTGGGTCTCTCTCTCTCTCTCTCTCTTTCTCTCGATCAATCTACTACCTATCTATCTATCTATCTATCTATCTATCTATCTATCTATCTATCTATCTATCTA